GTAAGGGGAATTTGGAGAGGTTTCCAACAGTTAAGGGAGACAAACTTGTCTGTGGGTTTGTTCTACTGTAGTGACATGTTGCTGTGAGTGTTAAGGCTGTGGACCTGGTGTTTTAAACCTTGCAGGGTGCACACAGTGCACAGGTTCTAGCACAGCTTGCAGACTGAGACAGGCTAGGAAGGAGGAAGAGGCCATCCACTTCTGAAAAAATTGGCCACAGAAAACACTTTCTAGCTGAGAATCACTGCACAAATTTATGAATAGAACTGAAACATTTTTCAATACAGAGGAGGAGGATGAGTCACTTAAGTTAGAAAACTCTCAAAATATGACTGGGAAAGAGCTGCATCATCAGAGTAAAACTACCCTTACTGATATGGATAAGGTAAAGCTTTTGAGACCTCCATTTGCTAAAGTGGCATGACTTAAATTGAGGGAAAACAATTGCAAACGTCCATTAATAGTTGGTACATGGAATATACGGAGTATAAACCTAGCAACATTGGATGTTGTCGAAAATGAAATGGAACACATAAAGAATGATATCCTAGGCATTAGTGAGCTCAAATGGACTGGTTTTGGCCATTTTGAGTCTGATAACCATATGATTTACTATACCGGAATGAAAATTTGAAGAGGAATGGCGTAGCATTCATCATCACAAAGGATGTTTCAAGATCTGTCCTGAAGTACAAGGCTGTCAATGATAGGATAATATCCATCTGCCTACAAAGAAGTCCAGTTAGTACAACTATTATTAAAATCTGTGCACCAACCACCAAAGCCAAAGATGATGAAATTGAAGATTTTTATCAACTTCTGCAGTCTGAAATTGACCGAACACGCAAGCAAGATGTGTTAATTATCATTGTTGACTGGAATGCAAAAGTCAGAAACAAAGAAGAATCACCAGTAGTTGGAAAATTTGGCCTTGGTGACAGAAATAATGCTGGATATTGCATGGTAGAATTTTGCACAACCAATGACTTAGTCTTTGCAAATACCTTTTGTCAACAGGACAAACAGAGGGTGTATCTGTAGACTTTGCCAGATGGAACTCACGGGAATCAGATTGACTATATAAGAGGTGATGCAAAAGCTCAATATCTTCAGCCAAAACCAGGCCAGGAGCTGATTGTGGAACAGACTATCAATTGCTCATATCCAAGTTCAACTTGAAGACAATTAAAACAAGTCCATGAGAGCCAAGATATGATCTTGAATATATCCTTCCTGAATTTAGAGACCATCTAAAGAATAGATTTGATGCATTGAACACCAATGACTGAAAACCAGAAGAATTGTGGGATGACATCAAGAACACCATCCATGAAGAAAGCAAGATGTCACTAAAAAGATGAGAAAAGAAGAGATGACCAAAATGGATGACAAAAGAGACTCTGAAACTTACCCTTGAGTGGAGAGTAGCTGAAGCAAGTGGAAGAAATTAGGAGATCAAAGAGCTCAACAGAAGATTACAAAGAGTAGCTTGAGCAGACAAAGCCAATTACTGTAATGAAATGTGCAAAGAACTGGAGTTAGAAAACCAAAAGGGAAAAATATGCTTGGCATATCTCAAGCTGAGAGAACTGAGGAAAAAATTTAAGCCTAGGGTTGCAATATTGAAAGATTCTGTGGGCAAAACATTGAATGATGCAGGAGACATCAAAAGGAGATGGAAGGAATCCACAGAGTCACTGTACCAAAAAGAACTTGTAGATCTGCGTCCATTTCAGAAGGTGTCATATGATCTGGAAACAGTGGTACTGAGGAGGAAGTTGAAGCTCCAATGAAGGAATAATGATGAAGAACAAGGCTCCAGGAATTGATGGAATATCCATTGAGTTATTTCAACAAACAGATGCCCCACTACAGGCACTCACTCGGTTATGCCAAGAGATATGGAAGACAGCTACCTGGCCAACTGACTGGAAGAGATCCATATTTGTACCCATTCCAAAGAAAGGTGATCCCACAGAATGTGGAAATTATCAAACAGTATCCTTAATATCATACACAAGTAAGATCTTACTGAAGATAATTTTAAAAAGGTTGCAGCAGTATATTAACAGAGAACTTCCAGAGGTGCAGGCTGGGTTCAGAAGATGTGGAACTAGGGATATCATAGCTGCTGTCAGATAGATCTTAGCACATGGCAAAGAATACCAGAAATACTGTTTTATTAACTATGCAAAGGCATTTGATTGTGTGGATCATAGCAAATTGTAGATAACTTTGAGAATGATAGGAATTCCCAAAGACTAAATTGTACTCGCGAGGAACCTGTACATTGACCAGGACACTGTCGTTTGAGGAGAACAAGGAGAAATTGCACTGTTTAATATCAAGAAGGAAATGTGTCAGGGTTGTATCATTTCCCCACACTTATTCAATCTGTATGCTGGGCATATAATCCAAGAAGCTTAACTATATGTAGAAAAACATGGCATCAAGTTTGGAGGAAGAGTCATTAACAACCTTCAGTATACTGACGAGACAGCTTTGCTTGCTAAAAGTAAGGTTGACTTGAGGCACTTACTGATGAAAATTGAAGAATACAATCTGCAATATGTATTACATCTCAATATGAAGAAATCAGAAATCCTCACAACTGGACCTGTAAGCAGCATCACGATAAACGGATAAAATATTGAGTTTTTCAAAGAATTCATGTTGCTTGGTTCTACAGTTGACACCAATGGAAGCAGCAGTCAGGACATTAGACAACATATAGCACTGGGAAAGTCGGCTTCAAAGGACCTCTTTCAAGTACTGAGGAGCAAAGATGTATCCTGGAGGACTAAGGTGCACCTGACACAAGCCATGATATTTTCAGTCACCTCATATGCATGTGAGTGCTGGACAATGAAGAAGGAATACCGTAGAAGGGTTGATGCTTTTGAATTTTATTGTTAGTGCTGAAAATACCATGAACTCCCAGAAAAACGCACTTATGCGTCCTGGAAGAAGTTCATATACAATGCTTCTTGGAATCGAGAGCGCCCAGATGTCATTTTACCTACTGAGGTCATATTTTCAGAAGAGACCATTTCTTGGAGAAGTATATCATGCTTGATGAACTGGAGGGTCATCAAGAGAGGGGAATACCCTCAAGAAGATGGATTGACACATTGGCAGCAATGATGGGCTCAAGTATAGCAAGGATTGTGAGGATGGTGCATGACAAGACAGCTTTGTTCTTCTTGCAGTCTGTAATACTTTGAGTATTCTTCATCACTGGCACAACTCATAAGCATCAAGTCTTCTTTGGTTTTCCTTATCCCCTGTCTAGCTTTAACATGCATATGGCACAATTAAAAATACTATGGATTGGGTTAGGTGCACCTTAGTCAAGAGACATCTTTGCTCTTCAGCACTTTAAAGAGGTTTGTTTAGGGCAATACATCATCTGATTTCTTGACTGCTGCTTCCATGAATGTTAATTGTTGGCCCAAGTAATTTGAATCTCTGACAGTTTCAATGTTTTATCAGTGTATCATAATGCTGCTTATTGGTCCACTTGCCGGGATTTTCTTTATGTTGAGGTATAATCCATACTGCAGACTGAAGTCTTAATTAAATCTTCACCAGTAAGTGCTTTAAACCATCCTAACTCTCAGCAAGCAAAGTTGTGTCGTATGCATATGGTAGGTTGTTATTGTGTCTTCCTGCAATCCTGAAGCTGCATTGTTCTTCATATAGTTGATATTCTCAGATTATTTCCTTTGCATACTAATTGAATAAATATATTAAAAGGATACAACCCTGACACAGTCTTTCCTGATTTTAAACCATATAACTATTCGAACAACACTCTCTTGGTCCCTGTACAGGTAATTCATGAGTACAGTCAAGTGTTCTGGAATTGCCATTCTTCTCAACGTTATCCATAATTTGTTAGGATCCACACAGTTGAATGACTCTGCATAGTCAATAAAACAGAAATAAACATCTTCCTGGTATTGTTTGCTCTGAGCCAAGATTCATCTGACATCAGCAATGATCTCCTTCATTCCACATCCTCTTCTGAATCCACCTTGTCTTTCTGGATGTTGCCTGGTAATATACTGCTGCAACTGTTTTTGAATTATCTTCAAGATTTTACATGCATGTGACATTATTTCATTCGATAATCATCACATTCTGTTGAATCACCTTTCTTTGGAATCAGTACAAAATGGATCTCTTCCAGGCAGTGGACCAGGTAGCTATCTTTGAAATCTCTTGGCATAGATGAGTGAGTATCTCCAGCGGGACATCTGTTTGTACAAACATCTCAATGGGTATTCCATCAATTCCTGTAGCATTGATTTTCACCAATTCCTTCTATGCAGCTTTGATTTTTTCCTTCAATATAGATGCTTCTCTATATATACATACTCACACACTATATATTTGTTTATGTGATAAATCTAGGTGAAAACTAAGGGTTCAGAAGATTTTTACAATGCAACATTTTCATAAATGTAAGATATCAAATATTTTATACATTCTTTGCTTTGACCCAATTGGAAAGCGTAGTATTCAAGAAAAATAGTAACTGTAATAGTAATATTTCTCCTAGATAAATTGACCAGTGAAAAATGGGATAAATCAGAACAGAAACCATGCACACTCTCTGTGTTTTATGATAATGAAATGAGAACAAATTTGTTTCCAACAGCATGTTTCCTATCTTTAACAGAAGTCATAATGTAAAGATCTTCTATGAAAGTAATGAACACAGTCAGTGTGGGAAAACCTTCAGCCATGTTCCAGATCTTGCTGTGGTACAGAGGAACTTTCCGGAGGTCAATCCTTTTCAATCCTGTGTGTGGGGAATGGCCTTCATGGATGAGTCTTCATCTGCGTGTCACACCAGATTGCCCCCCACAGGCAATACCTGTCACTGCTTGGAATGTGGATCAGCCTGCAGTTGTCCCTCTCACCGAACCACTTCTGTGAAAACTCTTAAAGGAAAGAAGCCCCACAGGTTTAATGTACACAGGAACAACTTTCGCATGTCAACCCTTAAGTTTCCTATTACAGTATCCACTGGTGAGAAACGCTATGAACGTAAGAAATGTCGGAAGTATTTACGTAGTTTCTCTTCCTTTTGTACACATGTGAGAAGTCATAAATGTGAGTATGAGGCATGTTGTAAAATCAGTAACCATCCAACATCCCTGATGTTTCATCCAAAATTGCACAAGACAAATAAGGATTATGAATATAAGGAATGTGGGAAAGCGTTTAGTAAGCTTTCTGACCTCTCCACACATGAAAGAATTCACAGAGGAGAGATGCCCTATGAATGTAAGGAATGTTGGAAAGCATTTAGTCTGTCCTCAACCCTCTCTACACATAGAGGAATTCACAGTGGAGAGAGGCTCTATGAATGTAAGGAATGTGGGAAAGCATTTAGTCAGCCCTCAAACCTCTCTGTACATAAAAGAATTCACAGTGGAGGGAAGCCCTATGAATGTAAGGAATGTGGGAAAGTATTTAGTCAGCCCTCAAACCTCTCTGTACATAAAAGAATTCACAGTGGAGAGAGGCCCTATGAATGTAAGGAATGTGGGAAAGTATTTCGTCAGTCCTCAAACCTCTCTGTACATAAAAGAATTCACAGTGGAGAGAGGCTGTATGAATGTAAGGAATGTGGAAAAGCATTTATTCGGCCCTCAAACCTCTCTGTACATAAAAGAATTCACAGTGGAGAGAGGCCGTATGAATGCAAGGAATGTGGGAAAGTATTTCGTCAGCCCTCAAACCTCTCTGTACATAAAAGAGTTCACAGTGGAGAGAGGCCCTATGAATGTGAGGAATGTGGGAAGGCATTTAGTTGTTCCTCTTCCCTCTGTATACATAAAAGAATTCACAATGGAGAGAGGCCCTATGAATGTAAAGAATGTGGTAAAGCATTTAATCAGCCCTCACATCTCTCTACACATAAAAGAATTCACAGTGGAGAGAGGCCCTATGAATGTAAAGAATGTGGGAAAGCATTTAGTCAGACCTCACACCTCTCTAAACATAAAAGAATTCACAGTGGAGAGAGGCCCTATGAATGTAAGGTATGTGGGAAAGCATTTAGTCAGACCTCAAGCCTCTCTATACATAAAAGAATTCACAGTGGATAGGCCCTATGAATGTAAGTAATGTGGAAAAGCGTTTAGTCAGCTCTCACAACTGTTTGAACATAAAAGAATTCACAGTCAAGAGAGGCCCTATGAATGTAAGGAATATGGGAAAGCATTTAGTCCCCTGTCACAGCCTTCTACACATAAAGGAATTCACAGTGGAGAGAGGCCCTGTGAATGTAAGGAATGTGGTTAACCATTTGATTAGCCGTTAGACCTCAATGGACATATAAGGAATCACAGTGAACAGAGGCCCTATGATTGTAAGGAATGTTGGAAAACCTTTAGTCATTCCTGTTGTGTCTCAGAACACATAAAAATTCACAGTTGAGAGAAGCTTTATGAATGCAAAGTATGTGGGAAAGCCTTTTGTCAATAGTCAAACCCCACTTTACATATGCAAGTTCACAGTGGAGAAAGGGCTTAATGTCTGTAAGTTATGTGGGAAAGCCTTTAGTGATTACTCAACCCTCACTGTAAATATGAAAACTCAAGGGGAGGGATCCCCTTTGAATGTAAGCTATGTGGGAAAGCTGTCAGCAATTCCTCAATCCTCACTAAAGGCAAGAAGTCACAGTGGAGAGAGGCCTTACGAGTTGTAAGAATGTGGGGGAAATCCTATAGTTGGTCTTCACATCTCATTTCTCAATTTAGAAGTCACATTGGAGAGACTTCTATGTCAAGATTGGGTGTTTTCACCTTCCTGTTAAAATTTGGAGTACGAAATTCCTATGAATCAGCCCTTAAAGAACAAAGTTTCTCAGTGAGTAAGAAAATATTACCAACTCAAAGACTGGGTGATTACAACTACTTTGTGGCTTTACAAGAAATGATTATTTTACTCTTAACTGTGGGACCAGCCTTATCAGTGTTTTCTTCCTTTTCCAATCCAGCCTTTATCTTTTTCATAAGTTTTTGGCTATTACAAATAAAGGTACAGGAAATAACCTTTAGCATATATGTTTTCTAGTTTTTTCACGGTTTTAATGATGTTATTTTCCATACATTTGGATATGCTCATTAAAAATCCCATGGCTTGGGGTAGGCACATCTTAGTATTCAAGGAGATACCTTTGCTCTTCAGCACTTGAAAGAGGTCTTTTGCAACAGATTTTCCCAATGCAATATGTCTTTTGATGTCTTGACTGCTGGTTCCATTCATGTTGATTGTAGAACCAAATAATACGAAGTCTTTGAGAACTTCAGACTTTTCTCCATCTATCGTGATGCTGCTTATTGGTCCACTTGTGAGGATTTTTGTTTTCTTCATACTGAATTGTAATCCATACTGTGGATTCTTGTTTAATCTTCATTCTGCTGTTTACCAAACGATATTTTCTATTCTAATCATTTCTTCCAAAGAGTTTGTTACAGTGTATATAATGTCACTCAAATATCTCTTTCAGTCTATAGTATACATAACGTGCCTTTTGTATATATGAAAATCATTATAGACTTTCAAGTATGCTATTGTATTTGGAAATGCTATGCATAATAATTTGTTCATGAATGTTGCATACTAGCTCCTACTTGTTAATATAATCTATGTCCATTTTATTGGAATCCTGGTTTGTTCACCTCTCTCACCGCCAACTTAATGTAGATAGAAGACCGGCCACATGGGTTTTGTACATGCAGACACTGAGGAGTAGGGCAGGTATGAAAGAGGGAATTGCACAAAACGGAACCTGCCCCATACAGTTGCATATGTAAGAGCATGGGGATGTTGGGTCTCTGCCTGGATGCTACTGATGGGACTAAGCTACATCTAGACAGTGTGTCACCAGTGTGCAAAGATGTAGGGGTTGCATTCCTGCAGGAGGCAGTTTTCCTTGTGGGAGAACCTTAATGGTAGTTTTTATGTAACTGTGGATTTTGGGTAAATGGGATGTTGTTTTGGCAGTTACTCCTGTGCTGTGTAAGCCATCTTAGATCTTTCTCCTTTATTTTGCACATATTGTTCCAGATTTGGTAACTACAAGTTCCTTTGAGTAGGTTTCTGTATTTTTTTTTTTACCTGTTCCCATTAAAATTTGTACTCAAGACTCTTGTCCTTTTCCTGTTTTGAGTTCTGTAATCAGACTTTTTACAAGAAACTGATTCCTTTCATTAGAGAATGATATTTATGAACAGAGATCTGGGAATTAATCTATGCTGTTTTTGGGAAGGAGCTCTGGTGGCCTAGTAGGTGAGTAAACACAGCCTTGGAGACCCAATGTGGGGCTGCTCTAAGTTGGAATCAACTTGATGGCATAACTTTTGTTACTGGGAGCCCTGATGGCACTCTGTTTAAGTACACAGCTGTTCATCAGTGGATCAGCAGTTGAAACTGAATCGACTCTACCCCTTTGCAGTTGACAGGGAAGGGGTGGATGGATTTTACCAGTGAGGCACTGTCCTATCAGTGCCACATTATCTTGGATCATGTTCCTGACACTCACCCACCACTGCTCAAATGTACACTGTTGTCCTGCCCCATAGCCCTCCCTCGTGTGTGTGCTGCGTCCTTCCTGTGCTGTCTGTGTGGGTTCCACCTGGCCAGTCCATGCAAATGTCTCCAGCTGTATCTTCCTGGGGATCCCAAGATGCAGACCTGGGCTGCTCTCCTGAGTTCCTCTCAGTGCTACTCATCTCTTCATGCTTTGTCCCCCTGATCACTCCCTACAGGCCTTTCTCAGTGGGAGCCTTCTGTTTGGCTCTAGACGTAGGCTTTGGAAATCAGGCAGGAAAGTGGTGCTACTTGTGGCCATCGGAAAATTGCCCCTTGACCTCAGCAGTGAATGTAGTTTGGACGGTCCAGGAATTCCCACCTCCCTGTAGTCCCTTCTCCATCTCTCCCCGTTGTTGGTGCTCAGCTTGTTTTTCCAGTCCTTCACTTGGTGTCCAGATGCCAAGCTCCCTGGTCTAGATTTGTACTTGGCCTTGTCATTGGAGAGGATCGGGAGGCTGCTGCTGTCTGTGCCACCATCTTGCCCCTTGACCTCCTGCCTTGTGTTTTGCACCCTTCAGAAAGATTCAAGAGGAAATGGAAGGGTGAGTGGAAGGGGGAGGCTCATTGTTATCAAAGTGTTTTCAGGTTCCATCAGGTACAGTCATTGGGTGGGTACATGTAGGCTAAGTACATTCACACATATAAACACACATATAAATGGGAAGATACTTAGTCAGCTACCCACACAGGGAATTCCTTCCTAATATCAAAGTCTATATTGGAAATGTGATCCACTGTGACTTACAGCAGGAGTTAGCAAACATGTTTGTAAAGGGACAGAATTAAATGTTTTAGGCTTGCGGGCCAAGGTATCCTCTGTTTGAAATTCGTAGCTCTGCCATTGTAGATCCAATGTGATTATAGACAATACTCCATGGATGGTTGTGACCATCTTACAAGAACATGGTGCCTACCAAGGCAGCTGTGGGGCACCTGTGACCTGGGCCTTTGTTGTCTGTTTATCTCTGATATACAGAGTCGCTCCAGATACAGGGAGAAGGTAAATCACAGGAGACACTGTACAATTAACAGAAGGATCCTACACAGCTTCCTGTCTGCTAATGGGACCGACGTGATGGAAGGTCCAGGATGATTACCTCCCTGGGTGTGCCCTGGGTCCCTGGCCAGTGCTGATGTCACTGTCAGACCCTCCATCACCCTGACCTTCTTTGTACTCACCTACCCCATTTAAAAAAAAAAAAATCTTTTGACTTAACTCTGACTCTTGGCAGTTACTGAGTTTCTTTGCTTTATGTTGATGGAGAATGTGATAACAGGCATTGCTGATGGTTGCATGACATGATTAATTCAATAAAACTAAGCAACCCCACTGCCATCAAGTTGATTCAGATTCATAGTGATCTTGTACAACAGAGTAGAACTACCCTATAGTTTTTCTGAGGCTGTAATCTTTATGGAAGGCAAACCGAACTGAACCTACTGATGTGAAATCTCTTAGGACTCACACTGTCGCTAGAGAACAGAGTTGAACTGCACCATTGGGTTTCCAGAGATGTTAGTCTCTACAGAAGCAAAGCCCAAACCCAAAAACACTGCCATTGACTGGACTCCTACTTGCAGTGCTCCTAGAAGACAACATAGAAGTGCTTCATAGGTTTTTCAAGACTAAATCGTTACTGAAGCAACTTGCTTCAGCTTTTTCCCTCGTATTGTCTTCAGGTGTAGAACTTTTGACCTTTTGGTTAGTAGTCACATGCTTTATCCACTATGCCACCAGAGCTCCATGAGTGGAACTCTATGTTGTATACAGTATGGTGTTTGCATAACATCCAAATCATAGAATTTTCTAACAAAGTATTTTGGATATTAAGCGACGCATACCTGTAAATTCAAATAGTTCTGAACATGCAGTGAACATTTACTTACACTTGATCTCATCCATCCTCCCCAGAGGAATCCTTGTCATCATTTCCTTGTGTATCCAGAGATTTCCTATGTAGAAAGAAATGACTTTTTCTGCACAAAGAGCAGATAACCATGTGGATTATTTACACCTTGTTTTGTCATCTTTTTCACTTATGTCTTGGACATCATTTCACACAGCACATAGGGTTTGGCCGCTGTCTCTCCAACAGCTAATTGTATATATTGCATGGATGGACCATACAACATTCTCTAGTTTTTCAGTGAGGACTATTCCTTTCTGCTGTTCCTGTAAGCAATGTTACAAGGCACGTATCTGCTCTTTGTGTACATATGTGAGTAATAGCTAGAGAATAAATTCCTAGCAGTGAAAGTTGTCAGTAGGTTCTTTGTCGCCATTGCAGCAAATTATTGAAACCCCCAAAGGCATCAGAAGTGCCAGGTATGTCATCACAATTGGTGTAAAGGTTGGAAGGTGGCCACCTTTGTGACTTCCACCTCATACTTATCATCCTTGGCTTTCTGATGGCAATTTTGTCTCCCCTTGGTGAAATCAGAGGTTAGAAGATGCTGCCTCCATGCCCTTTTTGCATATAGACGTGGGTATAATCCCTTTGGCCTACTC